ATGGAGTGAATTAGCTTCTTTCTCTTAATTAGTGACCCTACCTAGCTATAAATATAATTATCCTGGTTGGAGAGAGAAAACTTAATTTGGCTGTCCATCGACAGATTGGGCTGTCAACAGGGCTCTGCCTACGTGTCCAGCGATGCATCCAGCACCAATACTATCCATCGAATGAAAGACCTTAATTTTTGTATTGGCCACATGCATGTTCACTCCACAGAGTCCATTATATTCACATATATCTTTAACAAGGAATGAACAAGGAAATTAGTCTATTCATATACTATATTAATTTAGTTTGTTTAATTTTATTAAATAAATCCTCCAAAGTAGGAATTTATATATACATAGTCTAGACTGATATCTGTCCCATAGATAGAGGGTCGCTAATTAGATTTCTTCTGCAATGACCCTCCTAGTAGAACCTTTTCCTTAGAAAACTTGATAAGAATAACAAGAAAATGTTCAACTGACCTCTGAATTCCAGACCTAGCATGAAGCCCATAACACATATTGACACTTCTTTTTCTTCTTTGTTTGTGGGTTGCTAGTGCAGTCTCTAACCATTACAAATTCAAAGAACATTGCGATCAATGGATTATCATCGATAAATAGCCAGTTATACCACATTGTGATCGATGATTGCCAGAATGTCAATGTGCAAGGGGTGAAGATTGCAGCCTCAGGAAACAGCCCGAACACTGATGGCATTCATGTTGAATCATCGTCGGCTGTCACGATCCAGAGCTCTAACATCAAGACCGGCGACGACTGCATCTCTATTGGCCCCGGTACTACCAACTTGTGGATAGAGAACATTGCATGTGGACCAGGGCATGGCATCAGGTTAGATTAATTAGATCAATGTATTTAAACTACTTATTATGTATGATTCATCATCACTTTGTAGGAATATAGGGTTGAGGTTTGTGTGGGGATTCCCTTGCTGCAGCATTGGAAGCCTTGGCAAGGAGCTCAAAGAAGCAGGCGTCCAGAACGTGACAGTTAAAACTGTTACTTTGTCTGGTACTGATAATGGGCTGAGGATTAAGACATGGGCAAGACCCAGTAATGGATTTGTAAAAGGAGTCCTTTTTGAGCACGCCATCATGAACAATGTGGAAAACCCCATCATAATCGACCAAAATTACTGCCCTCATGGTGAAAATTGCCCACATCAGGTACAGTATTATAAGGGTATTTTGGTAAAAAAATCTCTCTCCAAAAATGACAGCCTTGAGTTGGGCCCAGAAATGGGCTTCCGGGTCCATTATTTTATTATCTATATTAAAAGATAATATGGGTTTTCAAAATGTTATTATTTAAATGCCTTGAAATCAATATATTTATGGGGTTTTTACAGGTGTCAGGCATACAAATCAGTGAGGTGACATACAAGAACATCCAAGGAACATCAGCAACACAAGTAGCTGTGAAATTCAACTGCAGCCCAAAGAACCCATGTACCGGGATCACGATGGAAGATGTAAGGCTCACCTATGCAATTGAAAATCAAGCTGCCAAATCATTTTGTAGCAATGCTGGAGGAAAAGCTTCTGGTGTCGTTGAACCAACAAGCTGTCTATAGACTATAGACTATAGACGACTATAGACTATAGGGAAAATACATAAATACCCAGATTAACACCAGGAGCTTTCTACAAATAGCAGTGTAGTAGATACCATAATTGCTCTTCATTCTTGTACTACCGAATGAGAATGGGAATGCTTATTTAATGGAAAAGGAAACTATGTAGTATTGCTATATTTATTTTGTGATTGTGATCATTAAGAGGAATCTACTAACTTAGGATGGCTTGGACTCTATTTGTTTTTACACAGCTTAATTTTGCATTTGTTTGCTTGTTTGTAAGTATAATTTGTACTCCTATATGATGCTAAATTTATACCCTAATTATCTCTAAAATAAAATGGGGACAATGTCATTTTACTTCCTCCCTTACTCCTAGATAAATAGCCTTCCTCTTGCCTTCATTCTCTTTTATCTAAAGTGGGGAATATATCATAGTACTTTCTGTTTTACTCCATACAAACAAATAAAAGGAAGTAAAACCTAAAGCAAAAATAAACCAGAATTTACACTCAGCCTATTTGCACTCCCATATATTCACTTCAGCACAAATAAAATTTGCAATGCCAAGAAATGGAACATTAGGCTTTAGGCCTAGTTTGGAAAGAGTGCAAATGTAAATATGTAGAGTGCAAATGCTTGTATACAGAATTTCTAAACCTTATATTTATACTGTAAATATTTATATTTACACTCATTCCAAACTGTGCCTTACGTACAAAATCTATCCTAAAAGCGTTTTACAGCCTTACAATTTGGTTGTTTGATGTCCATACAGACTTTGATGAAGTTGCTGATCTTCCAGGGGGCTCCATCCTTCCACATAGAAAGTTAATAATAAGACTTGAATCACCTTCAATGACAAGTTTATGATGAGAAAACCTGCAAGCTTTCATGGGCTTCAATGGCCACCCAAGCTTTCATTTATTGAACACTCCCCTATATCTCTAAAACTATAACATAAGGCTTGACCAAACTCATTTCTCATAATAGCTCATAGCGCACTTTTTCTGTTTATCTTCCAAGATGCATCAAACTTGATTTTTAGTTCCCCATTAAGCAGTTTCACCCAGCCCATTGATAGATTTACCCTTTCCTTTTTCCCATGTTTATTCACATAGGAGAAGAAGTTGGTAAATTCATATAGATCAGTTCTAACCTTTTCCCCCGTTATGCAAGGGGGAATGTTCTTATTATTAAAAGTTTTCTCATTTCTCCTCTTCCATATATTCCAAAGTTAAACCCTAACTTTTCCATCCTAATGTTTTGTATGGTATTATCTGTTCGAATTCTATTCCACCACTCCAACAAGTTTTCATTTAGTATCGGAAGGAGGTTGGTATGCCCCAAGGTATCCCAAATAAGACTTGAATCCCAACAGTAGAGGAAGATGTGTTTAGCATCTTCTTCCTCGCAATAGAATGGACATTCAGCTTCAATTCTTAGGCCCCAATTCCTTAGCCATGCTCTTGTTAAAATTTTCCTTTTTAAGGACAGGTAAAGGAAGAAAATAACCCTTTGTGGACAGTTCAATTTCCAAATACTTCCTAGACCCCCATAGAAATTAGTGTGATCCCAATCACCTTCCATTAGCCTATAAGCAATATTTATCGAGTACTAACCTTTGGGATCTGGTTTCCAAATCATGGAATCACATTCATTCCTAACTGGGATGGGGATAACTTTGATTCTTTCCCCTAAGTTTTGGGGGAGAATCTTTATTATTTTTTCTTTATCCCACATCTTATCATCCTTAATAAAGTCACACACCTTTTGATTTTGGATATCTTGGCTTGACTCCCTAGTACTTTGTAGAGGGGAATTTCCCACCCATATATCATTCCATAAATCAATAGATTGGCCATTATCCAACTTTCATCCACTTCCATGCTTAAGGATATCTCTGATTTCAAGAATGCCTCTTCAGGCCCAAGAGATGTTCTTTTTCGGCTTGATAAGCTAGAAATTATTATTTTTTGTATATTCATTTTTTACTACTTTGACCCACAATTATCCACTTGAGTCAAAAGTTACCCACTATAACTTTTTCAATCCCCAACTACCATTCAGCTTGGACTTGCAAAGAGTGTCCCATTTAATTAAATTTATTTTTTTCTTTACCTTGCCTCCCCATAGAAAGTTTCTTTGTTTCTTTTCCAAATTCTCCACCATAATTTTGGGGAGATTAAAAGACCTCATTAAAAACTAAGGCATCATTGAAATGGAGGCTTTTAGAAGGGCAACCCTTTCGGCTAGAAAGAGGGAGCTTTTTTCCTATACCACAAGCTTCTTATTAACATTGTCTTTCACTTTCCTGAATGTTTCTTTGGTTACTGATGGAGTGCCTATTCTTAACCGACCCTGTGACCGAACTGAACCGGCGCCAGTTCCGTCTTAGAGAGGAATCCTTATGTTACCTGGCGTCGGATGATGGTTATCGAAATCTAGCTAAGTTATACTTACTTTGGCTATCTAATATTTACAAGTTTGGCATTATTTTGGCACGTTATAAATTCTTCCATTTTAGGTATTAAAGAAGAACAAGACTTTCTTTATCAACTTTAATCTACTATTGAAGCTGTACGCATAATATTCTTTGTGAGTGTTATCGGTTTCTAGACTAAAACTTGAACGTAAGGTTTGCTCGTGAAATCGTCTTTGTTAGAGCGCCTTATGCGCCAGGTGGTATCAGACCGGGAGTTCGCCCAATCAGATGGCCAACCAAGATGGTAGCAATCGCAACCAACCTCGTGACGGAGATCAGGGGTTACAAGCTGTTTGGAGAGCAATCGAAGAGCAGTGAACAACAACTCGTAACATTGAACAACAGTTGACAGAGATCGCTGGACAACTATGGACTATGTTGCGAGAGGATGTTCCAAGGAACGGGAACAATGCATTGAATCAAGCTAGAAGAGATAACCACGGTAGGCCAATCATTGATCCTATACATCAATTACCTAGGAACCCTATTATTGATGATGATAGCGATGATGAGTTAGAGTTTGGCGTTGCTCCAATTAATCCCGGTGATGGTAGGACTGGTAGGAATTGGCGATATCATGGCAATTTTAATTGCCATCGGAATGATGATGAGTTTAAACTAAAAGTGGATATCCCTACTTTTAGTGGAGATCTGGATATAGAGGGTCTTCTAGATTGGATTACCGAGGTAGATCGTTTCTTTGAGTACATGGAGATCCCGGAAGAGAGAAGGGTGAAACTAGTAACTTTTCGATTAAAGGGAGGAGCATCTGTCTGGTGGGAATGAATGAGGGAGACTCGGATTAGAGAAGGAAGAGGTCTATTTCGAACATGGAGACGTATGAAACAATTAATAAGAGGTAGGTTTTTGCCTCCTGATTACGAACAATATATGTTTGAATCGTATAAAAGATGTGCATAGGGAATGAGTGTGAATGAGTACACCTCGGAGTTTCTGAGACTGGCTGAGAGAAAGCAACTGCCAGAAAGTGACAATCAACAAGCAACTCGTTATTTGAGTAGTTTGAAGCCCGCTATTCGAGACAAAATTGGAGTCCAGATGATTATGAGTGTACAGGAAGCGAGGAACTTAGCTTTGAAAGCTGAGTTAATGTCTCAAGAGAGGACTCGGGCTGACAATTATCGACGGTATAGTGGGAATGACAATAGGCAAGCAACGGCTGATAAGGGCAAGCCAACTCAAGGTGTGCAACCTCCCAACTCGCCTAATGTAGCTAACACCAATAAGGCTGCAACAGGAGGAAACACTCGAGGTAACACTTCAAACCCTCCTAAAAACATTAATCCTAATGCAAAACCTATTCCTTTTAAGTGTTTCAAGTGTAATGAGGTTGGGCATAGGTCCAGTGATTGTCCCAGGAGAAAAGCAGTTAACGTAGTAGAAAGGGAGGAGGAAGAAGTTTGTGATGATGAAGTATATTGTGGGCCCGATGGAGAGGACGAAGGAGGTGTTTATGAACATGAAGAGTACACGTGTGTTGTGAGGAAGCTTATGTTATCTCAGAAAAATAGGGATGACACACGACACAGGCTATTTCACACTAGGTGTATGGTGCAAGGTCAATTATTTGAATTGATTATTGATAGTGGCAATCAGGAGAACATTATTAGCAGAGATGTGGTGAAGAAGCTGCAACTAATTCCTGAGAAACAACCGAACCCTTACACGATTGGGTGGATCAAAGAAGTTGGTGGCGTACGTGTGGATGAACGCTACAAGGTTCCATTTTCTATTGGTAAGTATACTAATGAGGTTTATTGTGATATTGTGGATATGGATGCTTGCCATATTTTGTTTGGTAGACCTTGGCAGTTTGATGTAGATGCTAAACACTTGGGTAGGAAGAACGCATACCAGCTTGAGAAAGAGGGTGTGCGCTATACATTGTTGCCTATGGCAGAAAAGAACCTAACCAAAGCTTCAAAAGTGGAGGGGAGGAATTTTCTTACCATAACGCATTGACACTCTGAGTTTGTAAGGGAGTGTAAAGATACCGCGAGGTCCACTTGTTGGTTATAAAAGGGGAGAGTGTGAGTGAACCACTAGGAGTGAATAAAATTCTAGTGGATGTGCAGGGATTGCTCGACGAGTTTCATGATGTAGTTTCTGACGAGTTGCCTAATGAGCTACCACCCATGCGAGACATTCAGCACCACATTGATTTAGTTCCTGGTGCTAGCCTACCTAATCTGCCACACTTCAAGATGAGTCCTAAAGAGAATGAGATCTTGCGGGAGAAGGTAGAGGAGCTGTTGAGAAAAGGGCACATTCAAGTTAGTATGAGTCCTTGTGCAGTGCCGACATTATTGACACTGAAGAAAGATGGGAGTTGGAGGATGTGTGTTGACAGCAGAGCAATCAACAAAATCACTATTGGCTACAAGTTTCCCATTCCTAGACTGGATGACATGCTTGATCAACTTGATGGGGCTGTGGTCTTTACCAAGATTGATCTCAGAAGTGGTTATCATCAGATCAGAATCCGCCCCGGAGATGAATGGAAGACA